GTTTGCAGCGGCGCGTGCTCGATAATCCACCGGTTCTTTAGGAGAAATCTCTTTGCGTCGAAAAGAAAACTCTGGAGTTCGGTATTTTTGCCGCTCTCGGCCTATTGCGTTAGCTAACTTTTGAGCAAAAAATTGCGGCTCTCATACCGAAAATAGCGACTGCAGTGTGTTAACTGCATTGACCGACTCCGTCATTCTCTCAATGAGGCCCATGGCTTCGAGCCAATGCAAAAAATGCTCCTTCAGGAAGACCTGCACTGCGTCTTGGTAGAGCAAAGGTTCTTTGCTGTTCTCAAGATGGTGCACCCAGTACTGGCAGGCGTACTGGACTTCGGCTGGCAAGTACATTTTTATTGTTTTATCGCTGATTTCGGCCCGCAGTTTTCCAGGATCTTGGATTCCGATGCTGCAGATGTCGTTTTTGAGGCCTTTAGACATGAGCTGGAGACATTTGATGGCAACCTTTCCATGCATTTCGTGCTCATCCACCCAAAATTCACCCGCAGCCTTTTCGGTGTCCACAAGGAAGTCGCGAAAAGAAAGATGCAGGAGCCTTACCGGCTTCTTTTTGTCCTCCGGGATACTGAGGACGGAGTGTAGCGAATCTAATCTGATCTCGATGTCGTCTTCTGAAACTCCAAGGAGTTGAGCAATTGAAATAATGGAGAGTGGAGTAGCAAGAGTGATGATGATGCCAACAATCTCACGAAACTCTGCCACAAGCTTAGCTTTGGCCTTGTTGCCGGGTTGATCGGCAATCTGCTGGTCCAAAATCGGGAGATATGTCCTTTCAAGGTTGGATCCCTCATGCTGGTGCTCCAGGATAGCGGCAAGAGTCTTCTTAGGATTCCATTTTAGATCGGCGATGAACCGACACACCGTAGCAGCGAAGATGAACAATGGGATCGCCATCTCAACCAGCTTTTGGATCGTTTCATCTCCTGGCCAGTCTGACGGCAATCGGGCACGACTGAGGAAATTGTGTTTCCTTCGTATCCTGGCAAACTCGTGATGCAGGTACAAGGCAAGATCGCGCCTGATTGTGTCTTGCTGGATTACGTGGAGGACGACATCAAGATGTGTTTCTTTTGACATCTCGATGAACCCAAGACGAATCGGAAGCTCCGGACGGCTGGTTATGAATATCCGGAGCTGGACTGAAGACACATCCTTCCCCTGCTCTAGGATCTGAATGAGGCTCCTCACGTCCTGCTCCTGCTCACACTCGTCCAACGCGTCAACCACAACGATCAGAGGCGAGAAGTTTAACGGAGCATCTTTCAACGGCTGAATAATGAGTTTTTGAAACTGTTCGTGTGAAGACTTGTCGACGATAGTGGGGTCATTATCAATGGTCCGCGCAATGAATGGTGACAATTGGGGCCGCCTGATCGCAAGTTGAGAGGCGATAGTGGTGAAAAACTTGGCCACATTGCCGCGGTCGTCTTCACCTCGCTTGAAGAAGAAACTTGCCCCAAGCTGCCCCTTTCCCTCGAAACTCCGAGCAACCGTGCGAGAAATGGTGGACTTTCCAGTACCGGCAACGCCATTCAGCCAGAATATGAACTTGCCGTGAGGATCCTCGGCCCAGTCAGAAATGTCTCGTAGCAGCTCGGTCCTGGTATCTTGCAGACATTCCACTGAATGCTCATCTTGGTGTGAGTCGAATGCCGCGCCCGTAGCCATGGGCAATGTCGGGATCACCCTGAGCGTGAATGGGTCCATCTCAACTTTGGCCATCTCGACTTTGGCCGGCGGAAGCAACAACAAAAGCTCTTTAGCGTACGCTGCCGCCGTCCCCGCCGCGTACGGCTGCCAGCTCTTGCTCTTGTGAGAGTCCGAGTAGTCGCAGATTCCCCGCACAGGCAGGCATTGAAAACTGTTCATCACCCCGGCGGCTTCCATTTCGAAGCACAGGACGCCTCCGAGTTTCGCGCTGACTTTGTCTCGTTCCTTGGCATCGCGCATGACTTGATTCCCCGAGGCGATCGTACCGTAGTGAATCATGACATGTTCACCACGCGTCTGGCGCCGCACGCTATGTTCTTGCTTACAATTGTTGCAGTTTTCCTCTCCCTCCTCATGGTTGTACTCAGGGTCGTATAGGACATCGGGCCCGGCCTTGTCGCGAGCAAAAAGAGATTGGTTGCTGAGCTTGGCAAGATGTTCTACGAAACCAAATCTTCCAGTCAGATGGCTGGCCTTCAGCCTCGCCACCGCGTTCAGCAAGGCCATTGAGGGAGCGTTCAGAAATCCAGTCCGTTCAACCCCATCCGGCCTTGTCTTGCCCGAGTCGTACTGAATCACTCCGCCACAATCCTTGGACGGCTGGCAAACAACAACGTCCCCAAGCCGGATGTCGGCTTTTGCGCTCGGCACACCGCCTCCGATGCCGACCATGACGCCGAGTTGAACCGAAGTGAAGGTTGACTTCATTTGAGCAGCCGCCGAGGCCGCCGAGTTTGTGCCCGTCAGTCCCAGGACCATGAGGACGGTATTGTGTTTGCCAACGCGGCCGAGCGTGTAGCTATTGGGATCGGACGCGTGCTGGGGGAGAGGTTGGTGCTCTTCATCGAGCATCTCCTTGGCTGCCGCAAGTTCAACCGGGAGAGCGCAAATCCACCCTATTGTGTAGTCTACGTGACGAAGTCGGCGGGCTGGCCCTCTGTTGGTGGCTCTCTGAAGGGCAAGTGGTGAAGATGAGGTCCGGAGAGTCGACGGATGCGGCTGCAAAGGAGCCGTCGGCGCAATCGGTGTTGCCGCTTGGGTATAAGAAGCTACCGATATGTTTAGGGATGGCGATGGTAGCGCCAAAAGAACGGTCTGGCTGACACTGCTCGCGGGGACAGGTGTGGTGGTCTCGCCAGCAACAGATGAGGAGGGACGCGAAAGGCTGGAAGAGGCACGAAATTGGCCCCGTGTCCGGATCCGCTTTGCAGGTGGCATCTTGAAAACAATGGTGCTAGTCAAGAAATTGCGGACTTGTGAAAATGCAGGAGTGGAACTCGAGGTTGAAGGCGAGGCTTTGGGGCTTCCAGCTGAGCTCAACTGCGGAGCAGAATGCCAAGAATGGGGCTGTGAGCTGTCGACGACGAGATTGGAGGAGACACTGCGACATGCCACGGAGCATCAAGTTCTCATGCCAACTGATCAGTTCGTAGACGAAGACTTCGCTGGAGGACATATCCGGTCGTTCATCCATGTACGCCGCCCACGCTGCTTGCGCCGTCTATGCCCGCATCGTAGGTGCTGTTTGCATGTCACTAATATGCAGATTGTGGATGTGTGAATATTGCTATGTGTATTGTGTGTGTATCTAGCTAAGAGAGAGAGTGCAAGAGCCCGCTCAGCAGGTGGAGAGTTGACTGCCAAGCCATGAGGCCGGCCTAGTCCATTACGTCTGATCTCATCTTGCTATCTGACCTTGGGTCAACAGGTGCTCTACGGGATATCGAGACTGACCAGGGCTCGAGCATAAACAGGCTCGGGAGGTACGGGAGTGGCGGTCATGGTTTGGGCGGGAGTTTAGCAGCACAGTGAGGGGCGGACAAGGCATGCAGACTGTTCCGATAGAGAAGATACGTAGTTGATTCTGCAGAAGAGGTGGCCGGATAATGTGTGAAATGGGTGTGGGGAGGAGCCCTGGTGCTGGATTGACGGCTCGATTGGAGTTGAGCAGACGACATCATATCAGTCATGTTGTTTCGAGTGTCATCATCGCGGGACTCGAGAAACATGCAGTACCGCAGCACAATTGAGCCCGCGGGAGCGTGCGACCATTCCAACTGCGAAGGAAAGATCTCATCCCCATCGAGCAGAAAAAATTGCCCATCCCCAACTCCACGACTTGTCGTCAACAGACCATCAATGGCAAAAGGTTGAAGTGATAGACAGCGCCTAGCTTCCCCTCGAACTAGCCTAGCGGCTCCTCCCGTCCATCAAGCGGCCCCGCGTAGCCCGTAGTCTATCCCTCGCATTCCCGGCCTCACAAATATTTTACTCTATCACAGTTCGGCACATACGGCCACAGGTCGCTGAATACACCAGTCCCCGTCTGCTCACTGAAGTTAAACAGCGAACCGGTTGATTAGTAGTTGCGTGGGTGACCAGCAGCGAATCCCAACTGCTGTATGTTTTTGATGTTTTTGCCCTGGCAGGGTGCGATGGTCGTCATGCGGATTCTCCGCAGCTATCGTTTTGCTGACGCGCCTTGGGCCGACAGCTCCCAGAGAGACAGATACTGCAAACTGAGTGTCCGCAGTGCGGACAGGAAGGCAGTATGCATAGTACCGGCCACCGGTTTCTGGGTGGGGATAACGTACAGCACAGAAGAGTGGGCGAAGCGAATGGATAGTGGCACGTTCTACCCGACCTGGAGTTGCAGGCCATGTGCTGGTTACCCGGCGGAGAGTCCTGAGGATTTTGGCGGTGTCCCGTGGACTGGAATGGAGGACATTTGTACATTTGCTTACCTGGCAGAGAGCCTCCGAAGAGATGTTGTCCATTGTGTGCCGGGTAGGTGTAGGACGAAGACAAGTGCAGTATACTCCGCTTACCCGGCATGGACATGGTGCAGCTTACCCGGCACGGAGGCTTGAAAAGATCAGTCTCAGGTTCAAATTTGAACAAAACATACGGCACCAGACCAGTGTCACGCTTCCAGAGTATGCGATCCAGAAGCGTGAAGGCGGTCTGCTGGACTGGCGAGAGTTGGCGGTGTGTTGTGCGTCGTGTAGACATGGGGGGGTGGAGCTTACCCGGCTCTCGGCCATCGTCGAAGAAAAATAGATCAACCATCCCATGATCTATCATTCACCACCCAAACCACCCATAGCGTGGAGCAAAACCACAAGTCTCCTCTCTCTTTCCCCAATGCCTTTCAGACTGGCATCCTCCGGTAAACCCGCCTTCACATATATCCTCCCGCCCCAAACCCCCCACTCACTTCGGGCAAAAGGAAAGAAAGACCACCCCACGCACTATGGAACAAAATGCAAAAATGATTCTGCCCGGGCTCGAACCGGGGACCACTTGTGTCCAAACATTGGAAGAATGTTAGACAAGTGTGATAACCAGCTACACCACAGAACCACTTGATGATTTTCTATTAAAGTGTACTTTAAATAAGGGAGGCCAAAGAAAGCGGATGATCTCGAGGGCGCGAGCGGGGAGCGATGAATGGGTGGTGGCGGGTTTAAATAATGACTGATTTGGAGAAAAGGTGGGCCTCCGTGCGTTGATGATCTCGGCGAAGTGATAAACTCGGAGACCCGGTGATGAAGACGGGGACATAATCAAGACGGGGAAACTGATGAAGTCGGTGAAACTGATGAACAAGGTGCCCGCGCCGAGCCCCAAACGTGGCCTTGCGGTCGATGATTGGCCCGACGCAACGTACTACCACAAGGCCGAGAAACAACGACCACACCTCAAACAAGCAAGCGCACATGCCCGTCCCAGGCAAGGAAAATAAAGCATAAGTCATAGATGCGGAGTAGTATGCAACACGTAAAGCGGCCCAAAGTCATCGACGTCGTCACTCATTCGTTTTGCCTCCGCGCCGCCGTGATCATCCAACGCGAAAGCATGCGTGCCCAACGCCGCTAAGCCGACCCATCCAATACCGCCCCTAAACGCCGATTTGCCATCCGCCTCGCACCAATGCCGGACCTCAGTCTCGCATCAGACACCCCTTCGCCTTGACATGCTCGATCCGCTCGCGCCACGTCTCGAACACAAGCGGGCACTCGCCGCGCCCACACCTGAGGAACCGCACCTCAACCGCATTAACCCTCCCCCAGTGCCCCAGTCTGCCCATCCGCTCTGTGTCCTGGTTAGGAGAGTGCTTCTGCCGGATATGTTGAGTGAGCTGATCCTTGCGCGCGAACACGCGGTGCTCCTCCGGCTTCGCCCGACACTCCTGGTACCTGTGCTCGGCCAGGTGCTTCTCGTCCACATCCGTCGCGTCGCAGAAGGGGCATAGCCCACCTATGACATCTGGCACATCCTCGGCGCAGCACACCCACTGTACAGGGCGCGCGTGGATCGCCTCCTCGTGCCGTTGCCACTTATCTGGCCTGTTGAAGCTCTCGTGGCAAAAGGTGCACTGGTGCACGCAGTCGCCCTGCCCGTGTCCCGACTTCTTCACATATGGGTGAAAACGTTTCTTGCCCTGCCGCCGTACCTCCTTGCCCCCAAAGCGCGGGCTTGGCGACGACGGCTGCGACACGGGACTGATAGGCAGCGGGGGCGCACGATCGCGCAAAAGCGGAGGAATGGCAAGCTTGGGCAGCGAAATGGGACCCGGGCGGATGGGAATGAGGAACTGTGGGGGATGAGCGTCGTCTAGCGAGCCGTCAGCCTTGTCTTGGCAAAGTGACAGCGAGGGATAACCCACCAGTCTTGCAGCGCGCGCGCGTGTTGTTGAAGAAAGTCTTGACCACAGCAAGATCGAGCTCCAGCTTATCGGCCAACTGCCTCAGGGCCTCCTGCGTCGGGTACTTGTCCTTCTCAAAGGTCTCTTTGAGCTTGGTTTTGGCGGACTTGGGGATCGGGGTCTTGGGCGCGTAGCGGCGGCGGTTGCGCACGGGCTCGTTGGCGGCGGGCGTGTCCTCCGGTGGCGTCGAGGGCGTCGATGGCATCGGAACGTCGCCCAGATCCGACGATGCTAGGCCATAAGGAGAGTGATCCGAAATGTGGGGTGACAGGTCTTGTGCATTTCCGATCGGGGACGAGGAAGGTGAGCCTAGCAGCGAACCATCCCACGCCGGCGAGTCGGACGCCGGCGAGTCGAGCTGCCCGAAGGAGCCAAGGGACGGGCACGAGTCGCTGACACCAGAAGGGGAGTGCGGTTGATCAAAGGGTGAAGAATAACTGGACACCGAGGTGCTGTCATCTGGGACAAGGAAGATTGACAGGTCGTCGAGCGGGGGACTCCACTCCTCCTGCCATATAATGCCGTCGTCCCAATCCGAGAGAGCGTCAGCGGCCGCCGGGGGCCACTGCAAATTACAGGCGGGATCCGACTTCCCGCTTGCATCTATGATCCCATTTGCGGTATCACAGGGCGCTTGGGGATTCACGGTGGCTGTTGCTTCGCAACTTTCAGAAACACCACTAGGGGAAAAAGCATGCAATGCAGGATTTAGACTTACTGCGTGCCATAATTCTTACGAAGCTGGGTAAAACACTTTGTTTCTTTAGCGGGACGCCAAACACGCGGGTAATCACAGCAATGAATCTTGTAGGTCGCCGTGGACTTCGAGGGCTGATTTTCCCCACGCCTCCATATGCCCAGCCAAAATGATGATCTCGGGGAAGCACCTTCGCTGATTGTCACGTTGGCCAAGGACAGGGCTGACGGGACTGGTTCAAGGGCACCATGGCTGCTGGGGGAGCCTTGCGCGGAGCGGTGCGCTGATTGGCGCATCATGACGGTTAGGAAAAAGCAACAACGGGCGTTCACGAGAGCTGGCAGCGGGGAAGATTGGGGATGTAAATACATTATACTTCTATCAGACGTCAGTGGAATCGATGTCAGAGATGGAGAGAGGGGTACCTGAAGACGGTGAAGCTTTGATACCTAAACAATTGGGGTTAGTAACGACCTGCACGAGAGGGGCTTTGTTCAACGCATCGCGCTGCATTGTGCTCCCGAAGATGATCGAGGCAGAAGTGCCAGATCAAAACGCCACAGTGGTAGCCGAGGGACACAGAGGAACACAGGCCCGTATTTACCGTTAGATGGCACATTCAGCAGTCCAGGTTGGGGCGGAAGGTATGGGAGCCGTCGCCGCAAGGGAAGGCGGGCCTTGGGGTGCCATAAGTTGGCGACCCAAAAAACTCCAGACTGAACCCATTGCCAGATGAAGGCAAACGATTTCAACTGGTCTGTCAGTCAGCCAATCCAGCAGGTATTCCGGTAATGCTGTCGAGTTTGATGTCTCCAGAGTCTCTGGTATACGACGAAGCGAACGGTAAAATGAAAAGATGGTGTCCACGAAAGAAATGATGCCCGGTCCCCGATCTGGACGGCAAGAAGAGCGGGTCACCAATGGAGCAGCTGTCGGGTCATCAAAACCAAAGGCATGCGAAGCGGGTTAAGTCCAGGGAAACAGAGGGCGGGGGGCACGCTCTTTATGTGCTCGAACTCGCGCCACGCTGCACTTGCCATGCTGTCCTCTGCAATGACGGTGAGTTGTCCGCAAGAACAGCGAACCAGAGCGGTGCAAGGTGCATTGGCATATGCAGAGTTTTCCCGAAGGCCAGAATTGGAGGTGAGGTATGCAAGGCGAAGGTGTTGCGGTGTTGGCAGATGCGGGTGCAAGATCTGGGAGGGTGGGGAGTTTATGAGCCTCGAGGGTGGAGGGTTAGCACATGGATGGTAGGATGTTTCGCTATGCACTTGGATGCATGAGATGTAGGTACGGAGGAGCAAGCAGCACGCATGAGAGTGGCTGGGATAGGGTGGGAGAAAGTGTTTGATGGGATTGGAGATGAAGGCGCGGGGGATGCAAAAACTTCTGCCTCAGGACAACATGGGCCGACTATAGTACCGTCAGTGGCGGTGCAGCAAAGAATTGCGCCAAAAGTGGCTGAGCAGTGTGGCGAGTGCTGCAGGCAAACAAGCATGACGCTAGACAAGTGCTAACGCACTTCGGGAAGAAAGGCAACCAATGGAAAGCTGCGTTGCCCTGGTTATCCAGATGGACATGGCCTGTGCACGACCACAACTATTCCGCTCTCGTCTCTCGGTGAACCAGGCAAGCTGAGCTCAACCCCTCCCGTCAACTGGTGAGTAGAGCCACGGACACCGCAACTCTTCCCGTTCCCCCAGTTACACTCTCTGCAAAAGCATCCAGATCTTTATCGCATTCCCCGCTCCATATCTTCAGGTGACTTTGGGATACCTTTGACCTTCGGATTCTCGGCAAAACGTCACAGTTCACGCTCAGCTCCCGACAGCTTCACCACTCTCAAGGCTATCGCGCTACAACAATAACCGCATTGCACACACTCAACGCCGCCCGAGAGATGGCGCGCTGCCATTCCTAAGCACCTTTTAAACTTCTCTTTAGCAAGTGAACGGCACATAGCAATCATGTCGGCCGCCCTCCCTCCTCCGGGGAGCAGCTCCTACTCCTCCAACACGATGAACGTCGGCGATGGCACCTGGGATTCGCAGCGGCAGACTTTCCTGCTGCCGAATCTCATGGGCTTGAACTTCAAAACGATGCAGTACAATGGTATGTTGATGTCTGTATCCGCTCGACAGCAGCTCTAACTTCCTAGGAATGGGCAATCGCTTCAAGGACCTGCCGTACTACCACGGCATCGTTGCGGCACATGGCTCGCTCGCTGCCATTACCTTCCTCGGCATCATTCCTGCCGCCATCTTCTTCGCACGCTTCTACCACCGGGACAGCCGCTTGGCGCTGCGTCTGCATATCATGCTGCAGATTCTGACCGTGCTCTTCGCAACAGTCATACTGGTACTCGGCTGGTTCGCCGTGGGGCCGAAGCGCAGCTTGACCAATCCGCACCACGGAATTGGCCTCGCACTCTACGTGCTGGTGCTCTTCCAGTTCCTCTTCGGGGCGTGGATTCACCACCGCGAGAAGAACAAGGTTCGGTACCGTCTTCCAGCAAAGCTTATGGTGAGCTACACCCTATTGGTAATCTCTTATATCATCCTAACTAGTAATGCAGTTACACCAGTGGCTCGGCAGAGCAATTGCTCTTCTGGGCATTGCGCAAGTTCCGCTTGGCCTCACCCTCTATGGCGCCTCCAAAGTCTTCTTCATCCTGTATTCGCTCTGGATGTTCTTCCTCTTTATAGCCTATTTCGTACTCAGCTTCCAGCATCAGACAGTGCTCTCGGTCGACGAGCATGGGAGCTACGTTTCGGGCTCGCACCGCACGGAAATTACAGAGGAAAGTCGACACCATGGACGCCTTGGATTACTGGGAGCGGCAGGTGCAGGAGCGGCGTTGGCTGCTCTGGGGCGCAGACGGAGCAAGCGGGAGTCGAGCCGCGAGCGTACCGACCACAGCTCACGACGAAGCCACTCTGGGTCTTATGACGAAAAGTC